CTCATTGTATTTGCGGCGAGGTATACTCGTTGGCGTAAGTTTGTACAAAGTTCATTCGAACGCGACAACGAGCTTGGTGTTCCCGCATTACTAAAACGTGTATCCCTGCCCATGACATCCCGTACACTCAAAAAATAGCGATGCGCTCACAACCAGTGATCGATATCATTAAATTTTAAGCGAAATTATGAAATACGTTGCCGATTAGGAGGGGGGCTGAAGTGGTATTGCAACATTGATCATCGATCAGCATAATCTCCAAGTATTTTAATTATATTAAGATGTCGGGTTTTAAATCCATTCCTTTTCGTCCGCCTGATAAAATCGCGCTCGCGAAAGTGGCTGCTCAAGTAGTGTGGACCTTTTTCCGTCGACTTCTGATGCCCTTTAAATAAAATTATTGTTTATAAATAAGCATAGACGAAAAATGTCTTTTTGAAATTCGTTTTGTATACAATCATATCTTCAACAGTTGCATATGATTAAAGGGTATACCTATTCCATATCGGTTAGCTATCGATTTTTCGGGGTGCAGACGACGACTTAACGACGAAGTTGACTGGTCAACCGATATTGCCTTTATATCGATTTTACGAGATACACGGAAACTGACGAAAGCGGCAGGTATAGCTTTTAATTGGCCACAACCTAACACTAGACCCTTACATTGCCCAGTTTTATCTAATCCCCGCGTATAAACCCAAATGCTTATTCTAGTTTTAGCTGCCCGTTCACTAAGATACCCCCACAGGCGCCTTCGGACATATGAGGTCCTCTAAGACTGTAAATTTTGAAGATGCACATTTTAAAAAAACGCAAAAAAGAAAAGTATGTACATACCTTTATTGCAGTTTATCTTGGCTGCCATGGCTATTGTAATTAGTTCCGAAGCCTTAGGGACGAGTGCCAGGCAATTCTTCTGCAAATCAAACGTGAATATATGAAATACTCACCAAATCACCTGCCACATGGTTAGTGTCCAGCATGGTCCTTTTAAACACGTTATCCAAGACAGTCCAGTGGGCGTTTCAGTCGCCTCGTTAAGGCGGAGTCTAAATGAGACAGGGTGGCATTGCCAGACCCGTTCCACGAATCAAAGACCTTTACGTTTGACGAAGTGACATTCGTAATACATGGTTGCCGATTATAACTTCATATATCTTTGACCCGGAGAGGCCATTCATTAGTTTTCGCTCATTAAGGTTGACAAAAACACTTATTTCGTCGTCAAAAATGACGTAGAACAGTCTCTTGACAAAGTCGCTGAAAGATTAACCTCCGAGACATTCATGTCTAAAGTCGTTATCCAATAATCGCACGTTTGGCTGCCGAAAATCGGTGGTAGAACGTACGGGCTGACCGAGGGGATTTCTTGGCAGCTGACGGACTACCTCAGAATATGTGGTGAGCTGGTGAATGACGGTCATAGTAAACAGTCGACCACTACTCCTATAATTTCACATTAACAAGAAAAATATGATATATGATTCAATAGTATTTTGACAGTTTTGATTGTGACTTACCATTGAATGCTTCTTACTCCTGATATATATTCATCTTTTCCAGCTCTTAGTCCAGACAACGATGGTAAGCCTCCTGAAAAATACGTAGGAACTGTGCGACCGCCCCCTTACAGCTGGCCAGATAGACTGACAACCAGCAATTAGAGGACACCGAAATTTACCCAACAGGAAAATAATTTCAAGGTCAGGACGATATCAAAGTTCTTCAATTACCATGAAGGACATATTATTCATGCCCCCGAAAACTACCAAACTGCAAACTTCAATTTTTATATTGTACATATCGTTATTTTTTGAAAATTTTGTTATTATTTTCCCTTAGAACTGAGGTTTTTTTTAACTTAAAACAAACTCTTAATTCGCGCTCTTTTGGCTAACCAGACACCCGAAGCAAATGAAGTCAAAGTGCAGTTGAAATTGACGAGTTTGTTTTAGGTTTTTTTCCTGAGTTCAAAGGGGACTGACAGTGCCCAAGGGGCGCTACAATAAACCTATTCTATTCTATTCTATTCTCTCTCAGTCGCCCAAAGATGCGTCACTGGGCTTCCGCCACATATTCCAACCTTGTAGACATGTTGTGCATATGTTGGCACATGAGGCACGTGGCATGCCCAATATCTCGAAGCTGATCATAAATTGGAGGCTTCGGTTGTTCTAAAAAAGAAGTGTTAGTTGAGCGAGGTCTTACTGTCAACGGCAGATTGATCGTCTGCCGGACGTGTGTCGTATGGTTGCTCCAAATCGTCGGTTGGAGCATTATTTGCCTTAAATTTAGAGA